GTCGATACTCCTGCAGATATTAGTTGGAAGAAGCTCGGTCTGCATACTGTAAATTGGGAGGGAGGCAGCAACTGATTTTGCCACGGTAAGTCTGGCTGCGAAAGAGAGTCGTTTAGCCTTCCACGGCGCCATCTTCTTCTGAATACGAAGGAGAAGGGGTTGATATCTCCCTCTGGTCACCCTCTCCTGGATAGCCTGGATGCCCAGATACCTCCCTAGGTTAGCTTTGAGGGGAATCCCTGCTTGCCGGCTCAATCTTTCCGCTCTCCGCCTGGGGATATTTGGAGAGACATACATGATAGACTTGCTGAAGTTGACCTTTTGACCCGAGCTAAAACAGAAGTCCTCCAAGCAATGTTGTACAACTTGTATCTGGCGAGTCTCAGCTTCCGCAAACAGGAGGAGATCATCTGCAAAAAAGAGATGCGTGAGAGGTGGACCATTAGCAGTAAGCTTAACAGCTTTCCAGAGACCCCTGTCCACTGCTTCATCAATTTTATGAGACAGACGTTCCATACAAAGCACAAAAAGATAAGGGGATAGAGGATCTCCCTGACGAACTCCGCGAGACGGGGAGAAGGCCTGCGAGAGCTCTCCATTCCACAAAATCCGCATCTTGTTCTGCTCCACACAGGTCATGATGCAGTTGATCCAGGAGCTAGGGAGCCCAACCTCCTTTAGAGTATCTCTCAGGAAATCCCAGCGAAGCCGATCATAGGCTTTCTCTAGATCAATCTTGAAGATCAGGCCTCCTCTCTTTCCTTTCCTCTTCCTGAAAGAATGCAGAACCTCCTGAACCACAATAATATTATCAGCAGTCTGTCTCCCAGGGATGAAACTGCTCTGTCTAGGCGAGACAAGGTTTCTCATTAGAGGTTTTAATCTGCTGGTCATCGCCTTCGTGATAGCCTTGAGACTGACATTATTAAGAGAAATAGGCCAGAGCTGAGTCACTCTCTCCGGGCTCTCAACTTTGGGGATGAGGACCAGGGTGGACTCGGTAACAGGCTCCGGGAGCACACCAGTATTGAAAAAGGAAAGCGCCATGTCCGAGAGATTTTTGCCCACAGTCCTCCACATATGCTGGTAGAAGGCAGCGTGAAAACCGTCAGGTCCGGGGGCCTGAAAAGGTTTCATCTCGAAGACCGCTTTGTGGATGTCTGTGATAGTGAAAGGTCTCAACAGCTGCATCAGCTCAGTCTGGTTTAGCCTCGGGAAAGAATTCTTGGGCAGCCTATCCTCATAGGCCGACGAATCCTGCACATAGAGGTTAGTAACAAAGAGGAAAACCAAAAGAGCCAAGGATTGCGAGTCATTCACCCAGAGATCATTCTCATCTCGTAAAGCCTCGATCTTGTTGCGTCTCCTCCTGATGTTGGCTTGTTGGTGGAAGTAAGCCGTATTGCGTTCACCAAATTTCACCCACTGGTCTCTGGAGCGCTGGAACCATAAAATCTCCTCCTGCTCGAGAACTTTGTCCAACTCGGACACCAATTTAGAATGAAGCTTGGCCAACCCCGGATCGAAAAAGGTCGCCAGCCTAGTCTCAACCCCTTTTAGGCGAGCAAGAAGGCGATTCTTCCTCTTTCTAATGTTCCCAAAGACGTTGTTGTTCCAATCCCTGAGATTCCCTGCAAGACTAGAGAGAGCACTATGAAGCGGGGCATTGGTATCCCAAGCAGAAACAATGAATTCCTGGAGTTTGGAGTGAGTTAACCAAGCCGCTTCGAATCTGAAAGGCCGAGCCGGGGCAGAGGCCGCAGTCGGGGAGGAGACCGTGGTGAGGAGAGGGCTGTGGTCGGAGTGCAGCCGAGGCAGATGCATCACCGAGGTGTCAGGGAAAGCTTCATTCCACCTAGGATTGCAAAGGCTCCTGTCGATCCTACTCGCCCTGTAAGTCTGAGGTTGGTCACCCCTGGTCCAGGTAAACCAATGCTCAGTTAGTTACGTTTTGTTATAGGTTATTAGTTTCATAAAGTTTATTCCTTTTCATAACATTCTTAATAGGTCTATGATTGAATGTTAATAATAGTATATAAGAGTATTATAAGAAGCAAAAAGAAACGGTTAAATACAATTCTGATGATCGTTCAACTTAATTAATGATATGTTGTATAGGTTGATAATAGTATATTATTTGATTAATAGGAGGTTTAAAAAGCGCTAATAGTCTAAAATGTTATTGTTGAAAAATGTTAATAGTATAAAATCTGAAGTTGAAAAAAGACGAGTTTTTGTTAATATCGTGACCCTTAATGAACACCTTCTATTGATATGTTGTATAGGTTGATAAAAGTATAGTATATTATTAATAGGAGGTTTAGAAAGAAGAGTTTTTATTAACAAAAATTGTTTCAATTATCAACTTTTTGTGGGAGATTATGAACCTTACATTATATGTTCGTTAATCTTGACAATGTTCATTATTAACATGGGGAAACGGTGGTAATGTTTTTGTATATCGTTGATAACGTCATCCAAGGTAACGTTATCAAATTTTATAATATGATCTATCAACAAACCGTTAATAATTGAAATAATTTTTGTTAATAATGTTATTGAATTGCAATCATAAGTCAAACAAAAAATATAATAATAAAAGATCTTATGGGTATGTATATTAGCCATTTTTGTCATTTTTATTAACAAAATACATCAAAGAATGATAACCATCTTTGATATGTTAACAACATTATGATTGGTTTCGTATTGCAACGTTGAAAATGACAACCATACAACATTAACGCAAAATATAACTTCATACATGTGTTCATCATTTAGGAAAAGCGTTAAAATTCTTTTTAATTTAATTAATGATTACATATTAAAACATTAATAACAAATTTTTCGTTAATAATGGCATACTAGAACATTGTCAATAGAGTAAAAACATTGCAAACATATACGTTAACAAAACCTCCAAAATTATTACTACTTTCGCATTACAACGTTGATAATAACAACCACTCATTATCCACACCAAATTACTAATAACCACGTTGTCATTATTATTAATGAAATACTGTCACTTTTCAAAGGGAGTCTAAGAGAATGATGACGGCCAGGTGTGCTAGCGGGATGGCGGCGGCGCAAAAAGCTGCATCGTCGGGATGTCGGAGATGCTAGAACTGTAGCGGGGTGATGATGGCGGGATGGCGAAGGTTCTAACAGCGGACGAAGCTGTTGCCGTGAGGTGAGCGACTGCTGGAGTGGCTGTCGAGAGGTTCTTACGGCGGGATGGGGTTACAGAGAAAATGGCGGACAAAGGGTTAGGGAGTGGTGTGATTCTCTGGGAAAGATTCGAATGGGAGAAGGAAAATGGATGTGGGTAGATAAATTGGTTAATAGGATTAATTAGGATAGTTATAAAATTAATCGTGATGTCCTAAATACCCTTATTAATTATTTAACCTATAACTCCCCTAAATTGCTATTTATAGCCCTAACTTTCCTTTATTTGTAGCCCTAAGAGAATTTAATTACTATTTTACCCTTCATTCTTTTTAAAATTAGAACTTGTTACAACTCCAACCAAACACTCCCTTCTCTACCAATTCAACTGTCGCCTGTTTCCTCTCAAAATTTGTCGCCGGCGACGACCACCTCTCGCCCGAGACGACGACCTCTCGCCGGAGACGAATTCAGAGCGCCTCGCCGAAGGTAATTTTTTATTTTTGTACGAAGGAGGTGACGACTGGTCGTTTAACCTGCCACTGGCGAGGGCGACGTCCTGCCGAGACGTCGCCCTCGCCGGCGGCGGGTCAAACGGCTGGTCAACGACCGTTTTGCTTGCCGTCGGCGAGGGCCCGTTCCCGGCCGGTTTTTAAAAATTTTAATTTAGTTTTTTTTTCGTTTGATATAATTTAGGTTAATTATCTGCTTTAATGATTATGATTTAATGTAGGTTAATTATCTACTTTAAATAAATTTAAAAAAGTACTTTAATTATCTCCTTTAATTATGTAGGTTAATTATATGCTTTAATTATTATGATTTAATGTAGGTTAATTATCTACATTAAATCAATTTAAAAAATTACTTTAATTATCTTCTTTAATTATGTAGGTTAATTATATGCTTAAATTATTATGATTTAATGTAGGTTAATTACTCTAATTATCTGCTTCAATTATGTAGGTTAATTATCTTCTTTAAATATATTAATATTTAATATATACGAAAATTATTTCGGTTAATGTTTTCCTTTAATTATGTAGGTTAATTATCTTCTTTAAATATGTTAATATTTCATATATACGAAAAATTATTTCAGTTAATGTTTTTCTTTAATTATGTAGCTTAATTATATGCTTTAATTATTATGATTTAATGTAGGTTAATTACTCTAATTATCTATTTTAAATATTTTAATATTTAATATATAAGAAAATTATGTCTGTTAATGTTTTCATTTAATTGAAATTAGATAGGCAGCCACCCTTGAAAGAGTGCGTAATAGCTCACTGATCGTTCCGCCTTAGGGGGAAGCATCCACGCGAGCGGCGGTGGACGAAGCGGAAGGAGAAGCCAATGTATGAACAAGGATTAATTTTACTTCCCCACCTAGCTACCCTGGGTTGGGGGGTAGGACCCAGCGGAGAAGTTATAGACACCTTTCCATACTTTGTCTCTGGCGTACTGCACTTAATTTCTACATATAAGAAATTTTAATAATTTAAATATAGAATTTTATTTCATGAAAAGTATTAATTGTTGTACGAACCTTAAATTGCAATTGACAATTTAAGCATGAAAATTAAGTTAGAATTTATCTTGAAATTCATTATAATTCCGAACATTATATTGTGATGGGAATTTTATTGTAATTGAAATTATATACGAATTTTTAATTATAATAGAGAATTATACGAACCTTGAACATTTAAATATAAAAATTTATTATATGAGAACTAGCAATTATCATATGAACATTTTTAATAACTATTACATGATGATAATAAAATGGCAATAATTTTAATTCAAATTCTAATAGGTAGAAAATGATGGATACAAGAGGAAAGAAGAAGATGAAGGAGGTAGAGCCGTCAAGGGTGGCCAACCGTATAGTATTGAGGTCGCGTTGTGAGGAAGCAGAGAATGAGCGTCGACGTGCTAGACTTGTGGAGAATCCTTCTCCCCCGGCTCCCGTGCCTTTTGACTTAGATAGAGCTTTTGAGGGAGTGGTTGAGTATGATGGCAGTGATGACAATTATGATGACTTCCCGGATGTAAATGATGCTTTCTTCGAGAGCAACCATCCGAGTGCAGGTGGTTCTAGTGGACCTGGATTAGAGCCTGAGGCTCCTTTTGTGTCTTCTTCGTCCTCTCAGTTTGTTCATGTTAGACGTGGGCCTCGTGGTCGTTTTGAGTCATCATGACCCGATTCGGAGGAGGGCAGCACTAGTAAGAGGAAGAAGGCGAGAGAAGCTGATTCGTGGATTCTTGACAGGAGTGGGAAATTTTAATGTTTTGAATTTTGTCTCCAGAAGCATTTTAAATTTTGTGTTATCCGCCTATAACTAATTGGGAAAGATTCACTATTTTGAATTGTGTTTGCGATTAATTTAGGCTGCAGAGTGCAGAGCACTCCAAATTGTGAGGGAAAATTCAAAATTGAAATTCATGCTTCAATATCTTGAAAAAAAGGAGGGGAAATCCTTTTAAATTTCGATTTTATCCGCCAAATACTAAAGTAGAAATATTAATTTTGGTTGCTGGAACCTTAGCATTTTGTATTCCAAATAGAAGTTTACGTGAAAATGGATGGAGCCTAACCTTATCATTATTTGAATGTTTATAAAAATATAATATAGTTTTGCCCACTAGTGAAGTTGTTTGAGACAAACAAAACAAGTACAACTCGGACGGTTCGAGTTTTGAAATTTGAAACATACCTATTTTCATAAACCAATTTGTAGGCCCCAATCCGACCAAAAATTTCAATACACTTCCAAAAAAAGGGAAATCAAAGAAACAAAATCAGAAACCTAAAGATTTGAAAAGACATAAGAGAAGAAAGTGCAAGTTTTCACTTATCTCTGTCGTATCTTCTAGTGGGAGCACCTTCGACGAACTTGCGCTTAGAGCACTCTGTTCACCCCGCACTTCGATTGAATTACAAATGCATTTTCCTGGTACGTACAAGCTTTCTAACCCGTTTATGGTAAAGCATGTATCAATACTAACAAACTTATGATCAATAATAACTCCCAAACGTATATGAGGTATAACAACACTTGGTATATATCTACGAGCCATAGTCAACATTCTCTCTCTAACCCAATACACAATTTGTTGACTCAGATCGACTCTCGCACAACGAAATAGTCAATATGTTAACTGAAAGTAATAACAAATTTGTGCTTCCACGATAAAAACTACATTTATAGGCCAAATTTTTGTTATTTGTGTTCCAAAGTAAATAAGCTTTGTCTCCTGCATGGGGAGGTCTTCTCGTTAGGAAAAAAAAAAAAAAACTCAACATGCTTTGTTGACCTACATGAACCTTTAACACGGGTTAGCCACCAAGTTAGACATAGATGACGATAATAATTGAATTCAAATATACTCTCATAAGCAACATAAGTATGTGTCATACTACAAACTTCTATCACCACGATGAAAGTTCATATTCTTAGGTGTAGTTATCCTGGAATTGACAAATGCTAAAAGCTCTAATGTCAAGTAGGTATATTATGCACTCAAGTAATTCATAGACACACTCCTAATTAGGTATATTATGCCCTATAAAAGTTGACCGTTAAATATATGACGTGACAATTAAAAAATAATAAAATTCATAAAATTAAAATTTTCAAAATTGTCATTTCATTTCCACCTCATTATCACTTTTATTTAAAATAAATAAATAATCCTAATTTTTTCTAGTTCCCAATTCGGCCGGTCTCGTCTCCTTAACTCATGAATACGATGGTGGAGTTCTTCCCCGGCGAAGTAATCCTCTAGATTCTGGTTCGATTGTCAGTCAAGCCACTCTTCCTAGCTAGAATGGTCTGCAAACGGTGGGGTCTTTCGAGCCATTAGATGTCTTCGATTCCTCAGAATTGAAATCCACGTGAATGTGTCGATTCCTCGTGGCAGTCGGCGGAGTCACGCAACCGGAGCATGGAGATGAGTAGCGGAACGATGTGAGCGAGCAGGCGGTGGCACCACTGCGTGGTCTTGGCGAGGTGGTGGATTTCCCTCGACCTTGGACTCCGGATTCTCGGATTTGACGAGGTGGAGCGCTCGGGAGATTGCAGAGGAGGAAGGGGAAGCAGCAGCCGATCCGCGCGACATCGAATCGGAGTACTCCAGAGAGGAAGGGGAAAAGCTCGGGAAACTCTCTACCGATGATGAAGAGGAATTCGTCTCTGCCGCTTAGAGTTGAGCAGTGCGGCGACCGGAAAGAGAGGTTGGGGAAGCAGGGAGGCGTGTGGTGGGGAAGGTGTTAGATAGAAATAACAGAGAGAGAGGATTAAAAGGAAGGATGGGATTGCCTGGAGAGGGTAAAGGTTTTGTGGGGAAGATGGCGTTAAGGAACAATTAGTTATTTGGGAGGAGAAAGTGTTAAGGAACGATTGCAGGGTATTGATATTGGGTAAGAGAAAAAGATTAGGATTTTTTATTTATTTTAAATAAAAGTGATAATGAGGTGGAAATGAGATATGCAATTTTGAGAATTTTAATTTTATTATTTTTTAATTGTCACATCACATATTTAACGGTCAACTTTTAGAGTTGACCGTCACATAAGCAGAAGTTAACGGAGTTGGACGGAGAGTGACCAAACATGAACGATTTCAGTAAACTGAAGTACCAGCAATGGATTTAAATATTTCGAGTGACCAAACTTGAATGTTTTTTGTAATCTCAGTGACCAACCATGCAATTAACCCTTCTGATTATGTATGAGCTTTCCTTATGACCAATAACACCATGCAACAAACGGGGGCAGAAGTATGCTTTGACTAAATTGTTCTTGTTTCTTCACCATGAAGTTTCAACATGATCACTGGACAAGGGGTGTCTTCTCCATATCATAAGAAATTAAATACATGATAGAAAATTTAATTTTAAATAATAATACTTAAAATTCATACAATCACATAATAATAGTTCAACGCACACTGCTTACAACAATGCACGAAGATAATTCGCATTTTAGAACACTTTCCTCGTCCAAACTAGCATGCAAATATTGTTAATAGATGTCACCTACATGCTGTTCAACCATTCTCATTTTTTCAATTTTAAACATCGTTCTTCATATACTTAATGGATGAAAATCATTTCTTCACACTTGTGATTGCAATCGAAAAAATTAGTGTCAACTAGACAAGCAAACGAATGACAATATGTGCTTCTTTGTTTCCAAAAAAAAAAATCTGACTCTTCAATCATAGCATAGATAAAATAATGGGATGCTGATGGTCGAAGTTAAACTTTTGGTTTTTTAGGACGAATCATTAATCATTATAATGATATAAGTGTTAATAAAATTACAAAATTCGTTCAGATCAGTTGGTAATGGCTTTGCATGTGCTAATTGAGACAAGAGCACTTCTACTATGCTATATAGTATTGATGCTTTAATGTAGGGGTGGCTATTTGGACCGGGACCGGATTAAAAACCGGAAACCGGACCGTATAACCCGGACCGAGACCGGACCGGGACCGGATAGTAAACAATCCAATCCAATCTTTGGGCTTAGATTTGAGGTAAAAAACCGGATAAAGACCGGATAAGACAGCTCAACACCCAAAACTTAAGGGTAATTTGCATAAACGGTCACAAACCTTTGCACTTAGTACAAAACTTAACCAACTCCTCACCCTTTAAGGCCTTAGGCCACTCAAATCCCACAATATCAATGTAAAATCAAGACCGAATTGGGACCGGACCGGATCAAAACCGGACCGGATCAAGACCGGACTGTATCCAATCCAATCTTCGGTCCTTATATTTTCAAAAAGACCGGACTGGACCGGATCAATTTGGGCCAATTTAACCGGACCGGACCGTATAGCCACCCCTACTTTAATGTACAACTTAAAGTTGTACCACAACGTTAAATGTATAAGTTCAGGTTGTACCATAAAGGAATTTGTGCTCTTATGTTATGGTACAACTTTATAACTTAAACTTGTACCATCAAATGAAAGTACAAGTTTAAGTTGTACCATAAAACAATTTGACAAAAGAGTATAGGTACAATATGAAGTTGTACCATAACGTTAAAGGTACAACTTCAAATTGTACCATAAAGGGAAAAATCTATAGCACCAATACTATATAGCATTGTAAAATTGCTCTTGAGACAATGGTTCGATACAAATGCTCGCATACCCTTATATTTTTCCCCAACGAAACCCTAGCCAAACTAGCCCATGTGTATCTATTTTTCCCCAACGAAACCCTAGCCAAACTAGCCCGTGTGTATCTATTTTGAAGATGACTGGGCCTATTGCTAAAGAGCCCAACCATTCTTAACAGAAGGAGAGAGTCGTCTTCTTCTTCTTCCTTATTCAAATCGATAGAAAACATAGGACTTAGACAAAGCTTGCTCATTAATTTCATGGTTTTAAGTTTCATATTGTAAAAGTAAACAATCCTACATACAAATATGATCTTTCTCAAGGCCCCTTTCCCCAAAACACAATGAACTATATGTTTCATGAACGACTTAGGCAGAACGAGGCAGAGAAGAATAGAAAGAATGAGCTCGCCGGTGATGGGAGGAAACTCTGCTTCGAGTTTTCTTATCCTTTTGTTTCTTTTCGACATTTTTCCATCTCGCAGTAGAAAACATGGTAAGCTTGCTTCCAACATTGTTCGAATCCTTGCCGTCTGAACGAATCGGTCATCCCGATCTCGTCATATAATGAACAACGATGGGAGAAACCTAATCGCCTAGTATCCCGATTCCCGCAATGACCACACCGCAACCTCTGTTTTTCATGGCGTCCGGTTGTCGCGATTGAGGACCCGTCTGATTCCAGTACTATACGAGCTAGCAAGCAGAGCTTGAGCTGAAGTCGACGACGGTCGCTTTTGGTTTTAGGTTTTATTGGTTGCTGAATTTGGATGATGATTGTAAAATTGATGTTTTTATTCGTTTATTTGATCCAAATTTCAATAGAATCTTATTATCAATTATATAAATTTTTGGGTTCAATCGGAACCTCTACGAAATAAAGGTATCATACAAGAAAATATAATGGTAATCATTATTGGGGACTTCATAGCATATATAATTATTTAAAGGGTGCAGTTTGTAATATAATTATTAATAAATAATTTTAAAAACAATTAATAAATGTCGTTAAATTAGATCAACGGTGGAAAATCCTGAAGCATGCTATGCGCCTGGAGCATACGAGACGTATCCACATATATATATATATATATTAGCCTTCAAAGCATATAAGAATAAATTTAACTAGTCATGCCTTTCATATAAAAATTAAAGATTCATATTCCAAAGGCTAAAATTTTGAAAAAAACCAAAAAGTTGAAAACACCAAAAATTAAAATACTAAAATTTTCCTCCTTTCTCATTCTAGAAATTATAAAAACTCAATTTTCCCTCTTCTTTCTCTTTTACAAAATTGAATGAATCCCATAAAAAAATTGAAAGAACCAAATTTCCTTCCTCTTTCTTTTCCATAAATTGAAGAACCAAAATTTCCTCTTTCTTTCTTACACAAAAAGTTGAAAACTCAAATTTACCTCCTTATTTCTCTTTCATAATCAAAAGAACCAAACTTTCTCACTTCTTTCTCTTCCCATGTAACACCCTACCATATACGTTTTGCCTAATCATATTGTTCATACAATTGCAGCGAAATTAATCTCGGGTGTTACATTAATTATCAAAATTTACCCAAATAAAATTTCGACATGAATTACTCGCGTAATGGGCTAACAGTTCTTGCAACTTATCATGCAAAATAATTCATCACAAACATATATACTCACAACCATATGCATTGGCTTTTTTTAGCCATAGTCACACTTTTCATACTCCACAACTGCATACCATACTTATACATACCATAATCGTCACAACTTACACAGTTACACAAAATATACACATATCATCAACTTTCCACACCTGTGGATATCTCACACTACATCAGAAGCTAGTATGCACATGAAAAACGTTCTGAAAACATTTTTTTTACAAAAAGTGTGGATCATTGGCCAAAATCCCAAGTAGTCGTCCAACCACAGAATAGTTGAAGACCATACCTCATCTTGGCTTCAACTCTAGCTCCTCTCCCACCTAACACTTATCTACTGCTGCTGATGATGATCTGCTTACACATAGCATAAGCAGAGAAGAAGAATAAAAGAGGGTCAGCTCATGGCTGAGTGAGACAATCATTGCATCGTGAGTTCATAACAGAGCATACCCCTACCATATATATATATATAGCAAACAAGCCAAAGCACTAGGATCAGACCTCAGCCATCCGACATCCCAATAGGCAAAAGACTGAACCATCTTGACCTGTGCATATGCATCTTATCATGTTTTACTTATAGGCGCCTGGCTACTCCCATTCTAATAACTCTCCCGGGAAACATACCCCACATCCCGTCAGTTGTAGTCATACATACCCCAACATCCCGTAGGATGTGGTCATACATACCCCACACCACTATGGGTGTAGTCATACCCAGACACCACTCTGGGTGTGGTCATATCTCGTAAGAATTCTTCAGTCACCACCACATGAGAGGTGTGACTATCATACATATCATAATAGAGTAATAGCATAGGGAGCCCCAATTACTATGTAGTTGACCGTGAGACCACAACACCCATATTTGGTATCCTTATACATGATTCATATCTCATCTTGCTTAATCATAATTCATTACTTGCACATGTACTTGACCTAGCCATAATTGGCTCAACATAGGTAAATCAGGAGTCGTATAATTGCACTTCCTCGGGACAAACCCTCGTGCAAGTCATCCTCCTTAAACATCTTAATATCACCCTGGGAAGTTTATTTCTCCCACTTGTGAATCCAAAAACAACCACAGTATCACATCATGTAAAAACACCTGATCGAACATCCATGAAGCCATATCAACGGTTAAGCCACAAATGGCAACATGTATGCAATCATCAACATAAACAAGGTCCATATCGGCTAGGGCAAGTCAATAATATCATACAACAATCCATGGTTCATCATATAGCATAAAAGTTCATACACCCCTAATCATGAAATTCTAATTCACCTCGGTCAATTCTAAGCATCAATATAATTATCGTGATACGAAAAACCCGGTATGCCGTGCTAATCCCTCACCAGTTCTGGTCGTTCAAACACCGGTTTAACCTTCCCGTACTAAAACGTCAATTT